ATTCAAGAGTAGAACAATGATGGAAATAACATGGTTTATGTTTTAAATGTGGAATGTAGTATGCAAAATTAGTTTTTGTTTTGTTTAAGAACATGGAAAGAGGAATGTTTATGTTATTTCATAATATTATCTATAACTTGTTTATTTTTATATTATTTTAAGTTTCTTTTGGTTAAATAAAGAATCTTTTTACAAGTTTCAATTTATTTTGTACAGGCATCAAGGGTTGCAATTTGGTTTTAAGGTTAGCAATGTGTTTGCTAAATGTCGAGGTACATTGTCTAAACCATTCTTTTGATTTCTACAAGAGATTTTTATGTCTTTTCTTTATAAATGATATATGGGCATGCTTTATATAATATTATTCTTGTAGTGTTTATATTTTAGGAAAAAAAATTAGTCAAGTAGGATTCAAATCCATGTCTAACATATCAAATAAGCTAAATAATATTATGTAAAATATTAATTTTGTGTTTTCTCATGTCCTTATTGTTTATAGATTATACCCATAAAAGTTTACATTATTTTCTTTGTTTGAGGTTTAGGCCTCACCCCTATCACACCCAACCACCTCACCTCCACCTTTAGCCTTTTAAAACATTGTGTACAACTACTTCCAAAGATCATATTCTAGGGATATAAAATAAGTTGTCATCATGGCTTTCTAGTAGCTACAATCAACTTCATTGAAGAATGGAGGTCTAGAAATGGACCGCCATTCTTTATAGGAGATAATGAATTGGGTGGCCATGCTTAACCAAGTTGTTAAGCTTTTGAATTGGTAAACCTACTCCAACACTACTTGTTGGGATCAATGGCGTTACCCAAGAGGGGGTTGGTTATAGCTTAAAACCATGATTAGTTTAAGCCTAAACCTTTCCTAAATCTAAAACTAAGCCTTCTTAAAGATTCAGATGAAATGCAGTGAAATAATGAATTAGTTAGAATATTCAGTAATTAATAAGGTGATTGATCAATATGACCAATTTGAATATGATTAACCTACTAATGAATAATGAACTATAGCTTTAAACAAAATAACAAAGTAATTACAGGGGCTGTAGGGTTTAGCTGTTATAAAAGATAGAACCATAAATACAAGTAAGTGTTAGTAAGTAAATAACTGTTGAAATGTAAAGGCATCTAAAAAGTAAATGAACAAAGATGTGAATGGTAGCTATGCAAGATGTGTGTGCCAAGTTTTGTAGTTGGAGAGTAAAGACCAACCACAAATTGGTAGCTATGAAAAGGACCAGCTACTAGAAAATAAAAACTTGAGATTCAAGTGGTTGAATAATAAAAAATAAATAAAAAGAACTGCTATAAGAATCTCAAGAGCAATTTAATTGTTAAGAATTAAATAAACAGTGTAGTTGAATAATAAATAAACCAATGAATGTAAACAATTATAGCAATGTAAAAGCAAAGCAATTAAATGTTAATAGTTAACAATTGGTGAAAGTTAGTAAACAATAAAGCACTTGAACCACCAATAGAAGATGTAGTGTAATTAGTAGGATTAGTAAAGTTAGTAGCTTAGTAACTACACCAAGATATTTATATCAATCATCAGATATTCAAGTTTAAATATTTAGAGAAGAGTTAGTAAGTGTTAGCAAAAAAGTAACTACTAAAAGATGAAAAGCAAAAAGAAAGGATAAAGCAAGAAAACCACAAATAAAGGCACACAAGATTTTATAGGAGGTTTGAGGAAACCCTTGCCTGCATCCTCTAACTTAGGCACCTTCTAAGGATTTCCATTAACCAACAAAACCTTATAACTATAGTTTTTTAAGGTTCCTACAAATTTGGATAGGCTTCGGAGTGCTACTCAAGCTCAATAGAACTTTACGGGTGCCAACCAACATTGACCTAGTAGAAATTTATAGGTGCCTACCAACCTTCTTCAATCAAATATATTACAAGTATAGCATAAGTTGTTTTTTTCCTTTATTTTCTTCATGTTCTTGAATGAAGTTAAAGATCTCTATTTATGGAGGTCTAAAGAGCAAGTGACCATTTTTATAGCCATTGGAGGTCTCTTATTAAACATAGTAATGATTCAAAATACCTATGACATGATATAAGGTTTACCAAAGATGACAATAGTCGTTTAAGCCTTCAAACAATCAAAATTTTGATGTAGTCATCTACGAGATAAAATGAGGAACCTTTTTTTCTCCTTCAATCAACTAATTCCTCCTATTTAGTCGATTGATACTTATTTTGATTTGATTTGTCAAGGTTAATTAACTATGCATTTAAGGTAGTTTATTACTCCTCTCAAATAGGGCATTCATATGCCTCATCTATTAAAGTTGGTCAAATATACATTTGGGATAGTTGACTATGTCTTATAGTCACTTATATCGTGCTATAGCTGTCATAGTTAGTTGACTATGCATTTTTTGGTAGTTAACTATACTATAGAGTCTGGACAATTTATGCCTCATTAACAGCTCAATACTTAAAACCTTGAAAATATTCGTCCAAATGTTTAAAGACCCTCCCTTTGGCTTTTAATATTGATTTTCAAGATTTTAAAAACTTGTTTAAGTCTAGGAAAGCCCTGAAACCAAACCTATTATAACCATTGGTTTATAAGGTTGGCTAAATCAAGTTAAGTTGTGTTAGGCATCATAGAAAGCGCATCTCAAGCAATTGGTTACATTAAGAATCTAAAGATATGACTCTTCAAAATACAACTTGATATAGTCTTTCTCCTTATTGAATTGTTATAACAATGAATTTCTTGAGCTTTTATAAAGCTTTTGAAATCTTTTCGTAGCATTTTCATGCTTGAATTTGCTTGGAGCATCCTCATTGGAGAGGTTGGAGATAAAGCTGACCTTACCCACCTACAATTACAAATAAAAAAATTATATGTTATACTATATGCGAAGATTATAAAAGTGGTGTCTACATCCTTTTCGTTTGCTAATGGAAGAGGAAAATGATTAAAGTAGCCATTCATCAAGATACTTTAGTGATTCTTTGACTGTACGATATTCGATTCAAACTAAATCTTTCTCAGAAATCAATACCTCTGGTTCTTAATTAGGTTATATTACTTTAAAAACTGGGTCTTACGCTTGAGCTCTTTGGGTCCTTATCTCCCTTCTATGACCCAACCATCTCATATTGTTTGCCTTGCTGGATATGATCTAATTCTCAACTCCAATAGTTCTATAAAACCAAAACTAGGTTTGAGATATTGCATAGCAAGATGCCAATTATCATTAATAATGTAATACACATCACAATTGTTAAAACGTACTTATCACAATGCACGACAACAAAAAAATAATCACCGAAAAATAATGATAGACGTTCAATAGACATGGTGAATAAACAATAAATAAAGGTTCAATTTGGAAGTACAAATACAAATATGTAGAGTGCAAAACCTTGTATTTTGTATATATATCCACTATACAGCAGCAATAACAGAAAACAAAAAGCTTTACTTTTTCTCATATAAATGTTCAGAACCATCAACACCATGCCTTAAGATCTTTCCCCTTTCAATCATCTCTCCTGTCCCAATCTAAGACCATCAAGTCAGCAATAAATGAATCACCGATACTGACTACACATGATGAATAAAAGAGAAATAATAGAGATAAAATATAAAACCATGCCTTCTCAATTAAGGAAAATTTTGGCATTTAAAAAAGCTTAGAGAACGACATTAGAATTTTCTGTTTTCATTTTAACATCTACATGTCAAAACCTTTAACAGAGTTTATTACTATTAGCAAAAAGTAGGGGAAGTTTCAACAATTTTAGAAATTTGAATGGAGGTTCCGGCAATTTAACCTAATAAAAAAAATTACTGCTTTTATACATGCATGAAATTTGTGTTTAAGATAATTAATTAATTAATCATCATTATTTCTTATGAGTGAAGAGCTTAACCACTTAATATTAATATTAGTGGTTAAATTGGACGTAAATTAAACTTATGATGAAGAATCACTTAACCACTTAAATATTAATATTAGTGGTTAAATTGGACGCCAATTAAACTTATGATGAAGAATCACTAACTTTATGTTCTTTGTAAATAGTGGTTAAGCATGTAATTTAAATATTAAGCAACTAATTATTGGTTAGGCATGTAACTTACCAATAATAATATTAGTGCTTAAGCATTGAATTTATGTGAATCAAGCTTTACGTTTTTTTAAGATGAATATGGTTTATTTCAGAGATTTATCATGAGTCTTACAATTTTATGATAATATTAAATAACATATATTCCCATATACTGATTATGATATATTTCTTCACAGATGCAATCATAGCATGTGATGTTATTGATATGCTTTTATGATCTATGTTTCCATTCCATGCATATTTTCATCCATATTAATGTATATCTAAATCATATTTCAATACATCTTTTAAAATTACCTTTCTAATACACCTTGCATTTACAATACTTGACCTTACAATCAATTGCATCTAGAAATGTAAATAGAATTTTGGACAGAAAAGGGTATATTTGTCCCACAAGAAAATATTAATTAGATCCGGTTCCACTTTTTTTTTTTTTTTTGTTAAATGAGACAATTAACGATTTACATAATCCATTAATGCAAGCCTTGAAGCTCATTAAGGTTTCAACGTAAGCATGAAAGCTAATTGAGTCCCTTAGAAAACAGAGAGTTGGTCATCAACAAGCACCCGATATGATCCCATACTACGCTTTTGGATAAGATCAATGTCATACGGTAGGAAAACAGAGGCTTCAAAACAAAAACAAAATCGCTATATCCAACTCTAATCAGGTCGTATCAGTCTATGTTGATCCGTATTTGTTAATACTCAACTGTCATAAACCAATATTGCTATACAAACCCACATTCGAACTGTTACAAACCCATGATCAACTAATATAAACTCATCCTCAACCATTACAAAATATTCTCAACGGCTAGTAAGTCATACGCTCATACTAAACCATCACAAACCATATATGAACCCATACTAAACCATTGCAGACTAATAGTCAACTAGCATAGATCATCACAAATCCATACTTACCAAAACAATCATATTCGACTGTTACATGCTCATACTCAGCCATTACAAACTGATAAAACTTTATTATTCCATGTAAGATGTATCCAATGTACTTTGTACTCAGCTTACTAACCCCAGTCCGATCCCCAAGATTTTGGGATCGAAGATATGCAACTCCAACAGATATCTGCATCTGATATTGGCATCTCAAGCCATAGAATATAAAAATCTGTTTCAAAATTAACTCTCTCTTCTATCCAAATTCCCCTATTTAAAAGGAAAATCCATTACCCACCAAAAAGAATAATTCTTTTCTCTTTCCATTTTGTCAAAGGATAATTGTATGAATAAACTAAAATAGAATTAATTTTATGCCATTTCTTCTTGTCCAGGATTTCTTTCAGTTAACTTTGAAAAAATATAAAAAAAAAGATTAACAGATTTCACACTGAAGAAATATGATAATGGGCAGAAGGAAATTTTACAGGTGAACCTAGGAAAAAAAATGACACAAATTGCTATCAGCTCAAACAGTAGCAGCCTTGAGAGACAGAAAATCTGAAATCTTGTTGGTGTAGAAATCTGGTTGTATGGAGTTGTTGGGATTTTGAAGCATGGACAGACTTGTCACACCTATTAAAAGAGAGAATTAAACCTTTTTTAGTTGCATCTCATTAATGTGATGAAAGATGGGAGAGAAGAAAGAGCAGCTTGAGTTACCTGATAGAACAAGAAGGGTCTTGCAACCACCATTTTGTCCAAATAAAATATCAGTGTCCAATCTATCTCCAACCATGCATATCTGTGACTTGAGAATATTGAACCTGTCATTGGTTACAGGCATTATATTAGAGATCAAATACATGCTAAGCAACACTTCTTTTATGTAATGCCATTGTTTCGCAAAAACAGACACTCGGCTGGTTGAGAAATTATTTTGTTTAGCACATCAGTCAAGCTTACTAGAACAAAATCTTAGTGAGAAGGAAAAGTAGCAATCTTACTTGTTGGCTAAGTAGTCCATCATAAAGGTTGAGGGCTTCCCTACAACCAGTGGCTCACGTTGAGTTGATCCACTAATAGCACCAACCATGGAACCACCACCTGAAAATGAAAAAAGATTGTTGTCTGAGTAATTGGGTCTATATATCAAGGATGTACTGGTATTAGAGCCATAAGCCAATAAATGGAAGAGACTTCATTGATTGACCAAGGCAGTAGCTGACATCATCATGGTGTTTGGTTAATGTCAGCAGATGTACCGGTGAACCTTGAGAAGAATGACTTCTACAATCTGATAGAAGATCATTCATGGGTTCATGTCAGCATCTTTCCAGGATTATTTTTTGAAGACTGTAGATATTGTTCCTTGCTAATAAAAAAAAAAAAGACTAGATGTTTTTTGAATTTATTTTGAAGAAAATACAGAAAATCAGAGTTGATGTTCTCGGCATGTGTGATCTGATTGGCATGTTAGAAGGTTGATTTGGCAGTGTTTGATCCCTATCATATTTATGAATCTAAAGAACTTATTTCATTTGGTTTGGTTTAGTATTAAGTGATGATTCCTCTCTTTGTAGTGCTGTATTTGCTTTTTCATTGGCTGCTTATGTTCTACAATGGTGAGAAATGGTTCAGCTAAGGCAGGAAAAGTGTTTGCTACTCTAATGCATGTGTACGACATCTACACAAGTCTTTCAGAAATTCAGCATTCTCTCTAAAAACTAGGACAGTTTTTAATGTTCCAAAAGAGTTCTTATCACTTATGTTGGTATGGTATTGACCTGTAGTGATTAGTATTGTAGAGTAGGGCTGGAAAATATTGACCCAATCCCATTTGACCAACCCAACCCACCCATTTGAGTAGTGGGCATCAGTTATCTTATACTCTTCACAAGTTGGGCATGTATGACATTTATTACCAACTTGAGGGAGAGTGTTATTTGAGTTATTGGGTCTATATATCAACAATTTAGTAGCAAGGGTATTATTGAAAGTTTCACTTTCTTCTCAGTGACAAAAAAAAAGGAAGATTGAGTAAGAAGCATGGAGCCTATTCCAGAATTTCCCAATTTTCTTCTCTTTTGTTTCTCCTTTCCCACTTAATTTCTTTCTGACAGTCTAATCTAGTCACTACCAAGATTAAACCAAAGTATGATACCACTTAAAGAAAAAGATCTAAATAGGGAAAAGTTATTAAAGAATGAAAAGGTGAAAAAATCCAACCTTCAATTTGTATCTAAAGCCAATGATCAAGTAAAGTGTACTAGCTTAACATGAGAAGTGTTGTAAGGCTTAAGTGTTCCTTGTAACTGATGTTAGTGGGACAGTTTCAGCTACTAGTCCTTTCTTTCTTTCTTTTCTTATTGTTCTTATCCTAGGATAGGCCGCCAGGGGCATACTTGTAATTTTGTCTTTTTTATAAAGATTAATATAAATAGAAGACTGGCGGCTGCCAGTACTAAGTTTTGCTTTTCTTTCTATCATCTGTACCTCTCTCTCTCTCTCAATCACCACAAGCAACAACATGGTATCAGAGCGGAATTTCTAGGCTGGAGAAGACCTACGATCCTAGCATCAGCCTTTCCAAAGGGGATTGGACGTGGCTACTTTTGTTTCAGAGGAAAAAAAAAAAAAAACCATGTTCCCAAGAATGTTTCAGAGGATAGATGCCATGAAGGAGGAGATTGATGCCCTCCACAAAAATCAGACTTGGGAATTGGTGGATCCTCCAGAGGGGAAAGAACCCGTGGGGTGCAAATGAGTGTTCACAGTTAAGCACAAGGCAGATGAAACAGTTGAAAGGTACAAAGCAAGACTAGTAGCCAAAGGGTACACACAAGTATATGGGGTTGACTATGATGAGACTTTTGCTCCGGTGGCTAAGATGAACTCGATTAGGGTTCTCCTATCCTTAGCTGCTAACTTTGACTGGGAATTGCATCAACTGGACATAAAGAATGCCTTCCTGAATGGTGACTTGGAAGAAGAGGTATACATGGTTCAACCTCCTAGATTCTCTGCCAAGGGAAGTGAAAACAAGGTGTGCAAGCTACGGAAGTCTCTCTACAGCTTAAAACAGTCTCCCAGAGCCTGGTTCAGTAAGTTTCACATGGCAGTACAAGAGATGGGGTTCCAACAGTGCCAATCTGATCATACACTTTTTGTGAAGAGATGTCAGGAGCAGATTTCCGTATTGATAGTGTATGTAGACGATATCATCATTACGGGGAGTTGGAGTTCAGAGATACAGAAATTGAAACAATTCCTTGCATCCAAATTTGAAGTGAAAGATCTAGGACT